ATTCATTTGAGTCAGGCATAGTTTACACATAGCCATAAGCATGCCCGAGTTCGCGCACAAACCTCACATGATTTTGAAAATATACATGGGAATGGATGTGGATTTGAAATTTTAATGGAGTTTGAACATTTATATAGGCTTGTATTGGACGAGATCCAGGTCTTTAAAAAAGTGGCCAAAAAAAGCTCACCATTTCCAGACGTGATTTTTAGTATTAACAAAAGTAGAAAATTTATATAGGGGTGTATAGGTCGAGAGCTGGGTCTTTAAAAAAAGTGGCCAAAAAAAGCTCTTCCATTTTTTTCTCATTTTTCCCCTATAAAAAGTGCCCTAAAAGTGCCTCTAAAACGCCGAAAGTGGGGTCATATTCTGGTATTATATCTACTTATTTGTAAGCATTTAAATGTGTTTTCCAAACATGTCACTATCCCTCGGGTTTTAATGTTTTAACAGTACCGGGGGACCGAGCCTTGCTCGGTTGTGGTTCTGGTTCAGGCGTATATTGTTTACCATTAAGATTGTTGTGATACATTAATACTAATTAAAATGAATACAGCTGACCATATTATGTAAACTATAAAAAGAGTGAATGCAAATTTTAAAATCTACCCTTAATTAAAGGTGAAACATTGAGTTGACGCCAGTGCCCTCAAATGTCACAATTAAACACTCATTAACACTTTTTTTTATAACAATAGAAGATGTTTATTGACACTAATGTACTTAATTAAATTCAATGCTAAAATAACTCGTTGTTTGTTTGGATTCAAGTTTACATAAAATAAATGTAATATGTGTATAAATATTTATTTCACTGCTAAACCAAATGTTTGCTAACAATAAATTGCCTCGGGGGTTAAGTTTTTTGAGAGAGGGCTAAGTAAAATTATCAATATTTATTTGATATAATAACTATTTGATAACTTTTTTCCCATACAACGCGTAATCTTCAGTGTAATTATTGCTGAATAGTAACAACTGATGTTTTTATATTAATATGTACTGTATTTTGTAATTTGTTAGTATTCTGTGAATGTTAAATTTTAAAATTTTCAAATGAGTTGTGTAGTGAAATACGAACTCTCCTGAGGTAGTGGCTGTTGCCATTCATGTTTTTAGAGCTATAAGTCCCTAATTTCAAGCTGTAGTCAAAATCCTTCCTCTGGATTTTCAGATATATATTACAGACAGACAGGCAAACAGACATAGCTCGTATTAGAGTATAGGATATGATAGTATTGTGATGTTTATTTGTACAGATAAGTGTTAAAAAAAAGAATAAAGGATTTTTAATTAAATTCAAGTATTTCGGTACCAAGAGCTCTGGTTTATTGGAGTTTAGCCTACGCTTCGCAGCATCTTGATCAGCAGAGAAGAGAAGGGACGGATAAGCTATCGTATATCCTTCTTTGGGTGCCATAAGTGTTTATTTAGTTTCATTAGTGGTGTGTTCAAACTGAAATTCAACTGTCATTGCATTTAAAAAGCGATCGTGGTAAAATATATCAGAATTTGTTGCGATCAGGGTGATGTTTCCGATTTCCCGCGATCGCGGTTTTTTAGCTTGACGCGACAACGAAAAAAAAGAACCAATCGTCGGCAATGAATGCTCGTCTGCAGACTTCTAGCAGTGGTTAATAAAAAAAATTAGACATCTAGGTACTATAGAAAATTCTTGTACCTTTCAATGGCTATTTTTCTGTCATTAAAATCATTGTAACCTTCCTCGGTTTCCCGGTCGGTTATAAACTCTGGTAATAATAGATTTATTTAGTTTACAGTCAAACCATTGGCTCAATGGTTAAATATTGTACGTATTAGGGACTACTTGAAAACAAAATAGTCTGTTATTTAAAACACAAAGTTGAAAATAAGGCTCTAATTTATGTTTTAAAAGCTTTGCTTCAAAGAGGATGTTTGATACTCAAATGCCAACAAGTTATGGTTTAAAATTTTATAATCCTTTAAGAGTGTTGATAGATCATTGAAATATTTTTCGTTTATGTAATTTTGATATGTACTTTTATAACATGGATTTTTAAAACCTTGAATTAAGTCTTCCGTCTTTCCGTCGTCCTGTGTGACTGAAAAAACGACCGCCATTGTAATATCTTTAGCTTGTCCAAAACTGCTTCTTTATAATGGTAAAATTAAAACACTTAAATTGAGTAACCATTTTACAAAGTATGACCAGTATGACATGGTATGACCTAGATGTTTCAATTTTAATTTCTTAGGACGAGAAACCGGAATGATTATACGAATTACAAATCAAGTGTTATTTAAAAAAGTATCAAATCAGTGAAATTTAAACTCTTTTGAAATATAGTAACTAAAATTTTTATTACATGAAGTAAGGCTGTAAAATAATTTAAAATGATTAATTTTGTTGAGCAATTTACTATACTCTAATTTGTAGTCTGGGGGAAATCGTAACTATATTTCATTTCATCGCTAAATGCCCAATTTTAATTTATATTATAACTTCTGGATATTATCATTTCTCATTTTATTAGCTACCAAAATTTCAAGGATTGGCGTACATTTTTTAACGGCGCTTGACAGTCGTGGTGAGATTTTAATACAAAAATTTTACTAATAAAAGAAATAAATAAAAAAGGTTATATAATATAAAAAATATAAAAAAGATCGACATACATTTAAACAAACATCGACAATATGCCAATACATTTAAACAAACTGGTCGTGTTTTGAATTGTTAACATCAAAATCATGGTTTAATATGTATATTGTTTAGGTTAAGGAAAGATTAACAATTTTATTTCGTGTATTTATTAATCGTTCAAGATGTTGTTCTGTTAGTTTTAATTTTAGGCGCGAGCCCGGCAGAAGACCGGGACGGACCGGGAAGAGCATTGCTGTAGGACTTGGCACGTTTACTGTGTGTGACAAATTTGTAATTTGTATTCCGAAATTTGAAAATTATGCGCTTTCTGATTTAACTTTATTAATTACTTGTAATAGAAATTTAAAGTAACCAACTATCTGCTTGTCTATTTTGTGTGCATTTTGTATGTTTGTTATTATTTCATTGTTGTTTATTTTACTGTACGGATCAATAGTTAATTTATTTTGCTTATGTCGTTTACCGATTCCTTAGCTGAAATGTTGATTTATTGTTACACTTCTCATATTTTATTGTTGCTGTTTACACAATCTATCAATTTAATTACTTGTAATATAATAAATAAACCCTTATATATGCGCCCCCATCTTAATTGGTAATGTAAATGTATGTCATTATGGTGAATAGTTATTGATAATTTTTAATTTCTCCTATACATAGTATACGGAGAAAGTGGTGTTTTTTTTATGGTGGAAATATCAGTGTTGTCCCCTGAACCAACAAAGTGGGTATCGAAGTGTGATTCTGAAATTCAGTATGTTTTAAAGCCATTTCAACTTTGATCAAAATGGTACAATGCTGTTATAATTAAGGTTCAAAATAAATTATAGTTTTCGTTATTTTACCCATAAAATATCATAGTTACTCGCACTGCTTGTCCATTATAAGGACGTTTCTGACAAGCCAATGGAAGGAAATATGTGTCAGATTGCTGATACAGTTTATTTTTGCAAATATAATGTAGAATTCCAAAGTACAAGTTTAAATATTACTTGAAAAGATGTAGAAGATGTAGCTAGGATATAATTTCCTAAAATGTGTTGCATAGCATTATTTATAATTATGGGATAGTTCAAAGTTAGTAGTGGATTGGATGTTAGTTTTATATAGAAGCATTAATCACATCCGATAAACCTGCGCTTCATGTACAGTTATGAAACTAAAAATATATATAATATACTGATTATTAAAATAGTTTATTAACTTATTTTATATTTTCAGGGGGCAGTTTCTTGTTCCAAGAGGCAGGGCAAAGGTGTTCCCCAAAGAAGCCTTGTGATACTATATTTTAAAATATATATTTGAGTCTACTTTAAAGTATAAATATTTTAAAACAAGTTTACTGTACAGTCCTATAATTAGTTTTTTCTGCAATCTTCATGTACATTTTGATTAAATAAAAACAAAAATCAAAACAAAATTAAAACCGTTCCAAATATAAGGTAACAAATTTCTTTTAATATTGATGCAATAATATCCATTATATATCCATTCAAATATTACTATTTAAATAAAAACTATATTCTCGTAACATATAAATCGTGAATGCAATAATAGTTTTTTTTAATACGCTCTTTTTTAGTTGATCAAATGTATTTTTATGTACATTTATGTATTTTTGTATTTAGGTACAGGTTAATAAGGCTCTTGTTTGACATCATTTTAATAAAAACGAAGCTTAGTTATTTATTTTATTAATTTCTTGAGGTTGATTTTTGTAGTTTATTCATTGTCAAAAGTATTTACTAATGTAATAATGCTATTTAAAATTACCTTTTAGCTTTAGCTTACATATTTTTTGTTCATTTTGTACCTCTGCCCCAACTTGTATATTATAGGTTCTTGTATAAGTATAGGTTTATCTCATACCATCACGTTAATAAACTGCTTCTTCATGTATTGTTTCTATACGGGGACATATTACATGAAATGTATATACTTCACCATCTCGTATGGTCATGATATAAATCGGATGCATCCTGATGCAATTACAAATTCTGACCAAATAAACAAACCATAATGAACACTTACACCTACTGAATATTTATTCAAAGCGATTAATTTCAATAGAAAGAATCCAATCTAAAATCATATCGATTTTACAAACATTAAAATTAAATCTACCTAACCCAGCTTATGATTTTAGAAAACGTGGACCAATATTAACACGTTGGGTGCTGATGACGGGAATTCCCGCAATTGCTTAACATTGAAATAAATGCAACTTTTATGTTCAAACATGTCGACCGCACGAATAGTGTTAATAAATATTACTGTGTAATAGACCAATAAATACACAAATACCATGTTGACAATTTAAATTATGCCTAAAACTTGTTTATAAATCACTTACTGTCATCAGAAGAAGAAACGGAAACTTCCTGGAAAGGCGGGGAGAGATGACTCAATTGTTGAACGTGCTGTGACGTCACTCCCGGCTCTGCGTTCTGATTGGACGACGACACCCTCGCGCTCTCCTCCCATTGGTTGATTCTCTCGTACTCACTGTACTCCCCGTACTGGTGTGTGAAAAAATCGTTCAAATTCGGCAACGACGAACTAGGTTGTTCGTAAATTGGGTAATTCTGTTCATCGAACGAAATCGAATTGTCGTAAGTGAATTGGTTGTTTTCTTCTAAATTCAAAATGTCCTTCACCGAAAACGGAGTTCCACTGACCGTACTGGATACGGAGTAGTTGTTTGAGTATTCGCAGGAATTTTGATGGTTGTAAAAATAGTTCGGGTAACTAGACAACATTTTGTCAAGATCACCTTTAAAAATTACTGACGTAACATTGAGATTTTTGAAGGAATAATCACGAAGGTGTTACAAATTTTTACCACGTTTTCTCAAAACCAGTACTATTAAATAATCAAAATGTTGGTAAAAAAAATGAAATTCGTCTAAAAATTCACTACGTACGAAGCACTAGTCTATTTTGCACAACTTTATCCTCAACGTCCCTCGGGATGTTTCCAGAACCACTGTCCGAATCCCGAGTCCCGGCGCCGGAGCTCTGGACCTCCCCCTCCCCCCTCTTGGTATCCCCTCCTCCTAAGCTATTAAGCGCCATTTAGTAAGCTATCCATCGTATTATTGAAGCCTCCCCACCCACAGCTTTTAAAACCTGATCCGGATGATAAACACACACGTCTGTTCCGATATCTTGGACCATGTATATGGACCGGGTAATGTGTCAAATTGAAACATGGTTTTGGAATTTAAATTGAAATATATTGTTAGAAGTTCAGTAAGTCAATAGTAATTTAAAAAGTCATTTATCAAATAAAGAGTAGAGACATATTTACATGCTTTGGTTACGTCAAAATAACATACAATGTCATTTATTTATTTATTCACGGTAACACCATTTATACAATAATAGTTAGCATAATCAATTACAAGATATACGGCGGGTCATTAAGCTTATAATGATTAGTAGTAAATGGCTTTTGACTAAATTGCTTTTACTAATGTTGTATGTGATTAAAATAGAGAATTTTCAGTTTTAAAATTTACCAATAACGTATTCTCGGTTATTGAAAAAGATGCAAAAGAAATTAATTAATCTAACTCTAACAAATAAATTACTCAACACCTAATTAATAAACTTAAAAAACTAACCAAGTTGAATCATACACTACAAAAGTCAACTACACAACCTTCATACAGCTCTTGATGGTTTTAAGTTAAACTATAAAAAAACGCCCTCATTATAAATTTTAACTAATATTTATTTAATTACATTTTATGTCGTTATTTGCTTATGAGATGAAGCGTTGTTATGATTGTACCGAATTAGTAATAATATATTAAACCTAGTGAAATATTAAATTTAAGGGGAATATGAGTGAACGAAAACTGTCAATTGAATTAAAAGACCGCTTTGTTAAAGACTAAGGTCAAGTTGTCGTTTGTCAAGAATAATTTAAAACCCCCGATGATCAAGTTGTTGTACATTGACAAAATTTCGCTCTTCTCGGAATTGAACTGGCAGCCTTTTTATTACTAGATGAAAATTATATTAAAAATGTATAGCACCATAGGTTTTGTATACTAGAAACTGTTCGAAAAAAGTAGCATGGTTAAAAAAGTTTCTTCTATTTTATGTTAAATTTGTCCTCTTGGTAGGGCCTACTTGACAAAGCTGAATATTCTCTGACATATTGTACTATACTTCGTTCACAATATTTATGTGGTTTTAGGGGAAGAAATCTATCCCCTCCACTTGACCCTTACATTTAAAATCTATATTATACGTTACATGAAACTTTGTAAACAATAGGGTTTTTTTTGTTTTAAGATTTAACCTCACGTAGTATATACCAAAATGTTCGTCTAGGTGTGTAGATTTGCAAACTGACGTTACATGTTTGAAAAAGTACCTTTGGCTCTTTCCCAGTGCTTTTAAAGTCCCCATGTTATCCTTATGAACAACATATATTTGTTTACATTATGATCAGCTGGATAATTTATTTGCTGTTGATATTTTAGTTGCAATTTTAAGGAAACGTGTGCTACAAACATCTACTGACTTGGTTGAAAGGAAATATTTACAATTTCAATTTGGGTTGGCGTAAATATTACAGTGGAAAAAAGCAAGAAAGCCTGGACAATTTGGTATATTAAAAAGAAAACTGAATGAACACTCTGCTGCATTTCTTGAGCACTCATTAAAAGAGCTGATTTGAAAACTATGGAAACATAGGAAAGCCATAGAACATCACCAAGTATAATAAATAGAAATAATGTTTTTTTTTAACATTTATAATCGTTATTATGGACAACTTGATGCGGCTATAACATTTGTAGAAAACACTAAAAAAAAGATCAGGTTTTGAAAAATGATAAGATATTTACAAGAAATATTGATTATATCGAACATCATGAGTATTTCCATAATCTTTGAGTCAACTCTTTTAAAGTAATCAGAAGTTATGACTATTATTCGTTTTTAAATAACGCCTGAATACTTGGCAATTGCTCGAATTCGAGCAACAGGTACACTAGAGTTTAACAGCTGCTTAACTAACGTACATTAAATCTAAAAAAGTGGTGGGGTAACTTCCCCTTAAACCACCTCAATGTTGGGAACGAAGTATACAACACTATTGCACATTTAAAACAACAAAACAATTCTTTAATCAATGACCCCTGGCACCCTCTGACGGTCTCGACGTCTACATTGACGTAGACAGGGAAGGGTTGGTCGCTGGACAGGACAGTTCCCAGGACAGTGTCTGGACAACATCACCCCAGGGTGGTCTGGACCTACCGGCGTCCAGGAGCCCAGAACAGTCTGACTAATCTGCGGAATATATTAGCTGTCATGATCAGCTGTAAAGAAATCTATACATAGGTGTACCAAAAAGAATGGATCAAAAGTAAACTGGCGTAAACACTTTATTGTTTAAGATAAAAAGTTAAATTTGTATACAATCGTTTCCTTAACTTCCTAAGTTTTTCTTTCCATGGATTCTCCACCCAACTTCTACATGCTCCTCGTTATTGGCTCGAAGAAAGTCAAATCAGTTTTCCAGCTCTAGATACACATTGGGGCAAATTTCATAAGATATTTTTGCAAAGGCTTCCCTTATCTTTGCTTTACGTTCATCTATGTATGAGATCGGCAAGCGATAGATACAATTTATCCTTCACAAACCCTAAACAAAATAATCACACCACAGATTTCGTCTGTATAAACCCTTCAATAGACTGTGCTTTCAATTGCACCTTATTAAATTTCAAATTCATTTTTTGTGCTTATTTTCGAGCCTATTTTAATTTGTAAAGGGATGCTGCACATTTACAGGAAAATATCTTTCTAACCGTATGCGTAGATTTTCCCTGCGATGTACACGAGCTGAGAAAAAAGGTTTTAAAGAAACATGCTATCCTATTTATATATACATATATATACTCATAAGTTTAACATGAGAAACTCCAGAGCCACTGGGGTGGAGCCCGAAATGATTTTTGAGGTAAGAGTATGTCCATATGTTAATTGGGAATATGAGCTATCATCATACCAAATTTCAACCCTGTCAGTTTAGTATTTTTTACGTTTACTTGGCACAAACATCCAGTCATCAATCAATCCATCCATCCATACATACATACATCAATCTATCCATCCACCCATCCACATCCATACATCCAAGCTTGTATATATTAAAAAGAATATATATAAGAAAAAACACTTATAATTTTAGTAGGATATCAGATTGGATGTTAGATGTAGTTTACAAACAAACCTTTTCTTATCATAAAAATAAAATAACATCACTCATCCCCATCACCTCCAGCTGAAAAAGGTTCGGCACTTCACCCTAAATATTTAAACAGTTTACACATTATAACACAGCTGTTTACTTGGTCCCGCCTTTATTCACATCGCTCGTTGAGAGACGAGGAGATTAAACAAACAAATCAGCTGTAATACTCCACCAAAGAGGGGGTTAGAAGTTAGAACCTTTTTAACTGGTTTAAATAATTAACAGAAAATATATGTCAATTTCCCCACAGAGGAATAAATATTTCTCCATTCTTCGTGGTAAGACTTAGTCTCTATGCATTCTTTTATTTTCATTTATTTCAATGATTTCCAAAGTTTTTGCTGAAGTTCGCGATGGATACAATGAATTTAAATGATAGAAAAAACTAATTCCTGCCAAATACAATTTTATTATGCCTCCGATTTACGAAAAAGAAAGCTACAAAAGTTGTTTCCTCCTGAATTCCAACTCACTACCATTTGTTTGGCGGTAAATTGTTTGACATTACAAATCATCTCAATATTTGACTTTTCATCATATTTTATTTTAATTTTGGTTCCCCGAATTAAAATCAAAGGATTAAAATTGCAAAACATCTGAATGGTTTGTTGTAGTTTTAACTATATGTATTTTACCACGGTTCTTGCGATTAATTTGTTCCCACGTTTTATCGGAATTTAGAACAAAAATATGTTTTCAAATGAGTTGTATCTTAATTTCAAAGATGTTTTTTAAATCATAAAAACAACTATGTACTACGTTGATCCATATATAGCTTTCTACAACATAAAAAACTTGACTTAATTTTTAAGTGTTAACAAAAACAAATACTGTGCAATAAAAATAACTTTTTAACCTAATAAAACAATACAATTGGAGACATATGTATAACCATAGATAAAAATATTTCCCATCCTTATGGATCAGCTGAAGCCAATTTTACTGTTAGTTCTGCCCGGTGTACTGTAGAGTCGTATTTTTTTCAATTCGTTTCTTGCTATTTCAGTAATCTAAAACCTAATCATAAAAAATAACTTGTCCACTAGCTATACAACCAAACAGTGAGGCACAAATCATGAGAAACTAACCCTAAAATAATATAATCAAATTGTAAACAAAACATGACTCTACAGTACACCGGACAGAACTAACAATAAAATTGGCTTCAGCTGTTCCATAAGGATGGGAGATCTACTAAGGGGGTTTATTTTATCTGTAACAAAATCATGGATTAATGGTGGAAGAGTGTAATAATAAAAAATAATAACCGATTTAAGATAGATGATATTTGACTGCGCAGTCAGTGTAGTCCTGCAGGTTTGTGCGTGTAGCTCGATTGCCTATCTGCGCCGTCACATCTTTAGGTGTCTTACCTGGTCTCTCCGTCCGTACTAGAAGCCACTAGAAGCTGTGAACTTGGACAACAAATACATCCACACACGTTATACATGGTGTCCTGCAAGTTGACAGGCAAACTCCTGGATGGTTGCATGGTACAATATAATACGAAAATCTGAAAGACAAATAGTTGAAGAATCACGAATTTTAGAAACTGGGCAAAATAAGGCTGGTTACACCAAATTAAGTGGTCTTATTCTAACACTAAACCTGTGATGCATCAGCCTAAAGATTTTATTTTAAAATACTAAAACTCAATACGAGGGATATCTTGCTAGAAAGGCATTAAAAAATGTTATTCTTGATTTTTTTTATACTCACCCATAAAACCAATTTTGACTATTTGCTTACGGGACACGCTGTTTAGTCTAGTATAGCAATTCTAGCGTCATACAAAACC